TCATCCGGTCCCCTGAAACTCCCCCCTGTACCCAGAAATCCATCAGAGCCTCCTCAGGTTGCAGGTCCACAAGGTCGACAGGCACACAGGGGGCCGGGCCGGGCCGGGCCGGGCCAGGCTGGGCCTGTTCGATCTGCCCCTGGCCTGTGCGGCTCGTGCTGGAGGTTCGTGTTTGAAGAGGGATTGAAGTTTGCTGCGGGTGGGGAGGCTGTGTTTGTTTACCAGGGCCTGAAGGCAGGCTCTGTGCCGCGCGGCGCCTGGGGCCGGTTCTCTCCTCGCCGAGCTGCTCCTCCCTTACCGCCTCCTGACCGCGTTTTCACCCTGGAGTCCCTCCGCCTGGCCCGGACCGCCGTTACTGATATAGGGATCGTTTCCACCTTCAACCACATGTCTGGGCAGCTCGTTCCACACTCCCACCCCCCCTTTGTGTAAAGAAGGGCCTCCTGTCCTGGCTGGAGGGTCTCATCCAGCTGCTTCTTGTAAGACACAAGTGTATTGGCCTCAGCCACATGTCTGGGCAGCTCGCTCCACGCTCCCACCGCCCTGTGTGTACAGATGTGTCCAGATGTGTCGTTGCGCTTGTTCCTGTGACAGCCCACACAGAGAGCCCCCTGACAGCGAGCCAGACAGTAAGGTGACTCTGCATCGGGACCTCAGGAAACTCGGTTCTGGTCCAGGTTGGCAGAGGAGACCCCAGTGGGGGGATTAGCCGCAGAGGAATTCAGGAAGAGCTCCGTGGATTCGTAGTTGAGAGGGCTAGTGCAGGTGGGTGCAGGGGAGGTGCGCTCAGGCAGCAGACAGGCACGCCGAGCTGGGAGGGGTGTGGGGTTGACACATCGGGGGCAACTGCAGAGACCGGACACAGGGGCAACAGTGCAGAAGGTAAAGTCGCTCTCAAAAAGAAAGACGATGTTTTGTTACTGTTGCTGCATTTATTTTTGAGGTTCTTCGACATCCAGTTTGTACGTGAACAGTACAGTGCCTTCCTTATCCGTGGACCTTATTGCTGCTGTTGTCACTGTAATTAAAAACACAATAAGAGCAACATTTCATGCAGCATAACGATTCCCACCAGAATAATTTTATTCAGTAAACTAGCAACATCCCGCTGTCTGAGAGCTCCACCTATTCTGAGAAACATACGGCATGTGTGAAACGTCCTGATAAAAAGAGCGACCTTCTCTTCCGAGCAGAGACGCCGCACGCTCCTGTTCCTGCTCCGTCCTGCTCGCACTCAGACTGCGAGCGGGGGCGGCGGGGGAGGGGGGGGCTCGGTCACCCCAAATCGGAGAGCCCCAACCCAGCCCGTCTTACAGGTCACCCCAAATCGGAGAGCCCCAACCCAGCCCGTCTTACAGGTCACCCTGAACCCACCAAGAACCCGGGTCTTGGAACCTGTTCCCAAAAACTGTCACGTCTATAAATTATTACTGAATCGAGGCACGTGATCTGACCAGTTGCGAACACTGGTCCCCGGGCTGCCGAGCACTGGGATGTTAGTCCTACTGTACCTGACCTGTAAGTGACCGAGACTGACCGCTGACTCGCCGCCCTCACGGGAACGGCCCCGGGTCTCTCCGCGGCGGCAGACCCGCCCGGCTCTCTCCTGGGCGCAGTGACCTGTCGCCACCTGAAGCCCCCCAACACGAGGAGCCAGTCTAACCCCCTCCACCAATCAATGCGTCCCCGGTAAAGGAGGACTGACTCACGGGCTCAGGCAGACCCGGGCGGTGTGTGTGATGTTCTGTCGGAGTGGCGCTCCAGGACTGCGTGTGTCTGCTATGTAATGTTACATTGAATTTAATGTCAGGTTTATTTGTACGGTTTGCATGTCTTTGCTTGTGTGGACAACATCGCTGCTTATAATCAAAACAAATCCACGAGAATCCAGACAACAGCTGAATTGCTTCGTACTGTTGCAGTGCACTGAGGAGGCGGTCGCCATTCAAGCGCGCAGTGCATTACAAGCCGAGAACGAGGCAACATTCTTAATTAACACTAATTACCGAGCGAGCGGAGCGGCGTCGTGCACGACTTGCTGGCGTTTTTCATCCAAAACAGGGCCCCCCTGCCTTCCTGACCACATCAGAGGCGCCGCGCACCCTGCCTGCCCTGTCTGCCGAGCTCCGGATCCGCCGCGGGCGCCCTGGGCCGCGGCGAGGCGCCACAGCGCCGCCCCGTGGGCGCCGGCCGCCACTGCAGGAGCGCGCTCGGGCAAACGGGAGACGTGCCGGTGTCGGGGGGGGGGACGCCCAAACCACTTCTCCGAAACACGAATAATAGCGACCCCATCCCTTGCCACAATTAGATGATGACAAAACCAGAAGAGCTTTAGAAACAGATATTCTAGCGACTGTGAGGCTGTATAGCACAATTGTACAAACGTACAGTTGTACCAACAGTATAAAGTACAATAATGAATCTCTCTCGCCCTTTGTCGCATAGCGGCGGTTGGTTGTATTCATTTAACCGTCCCGGGATATAAGAGTAAAGCCTCTAGTTTAAACAGTCAAGATGACGATGGCAGCTAATAACCCAGGCTTGCGTGAAGGTGTTTTACGGGGCGGCGGTGTCTCCGGCAGGAGGC